TAAACATATTGTTTTTAATAATTCTCCTCTCCACCCCTCTCCTTTGAAAAAGCCAATGGTATGAAGTAAATTTCAGAACCACTCTAAAAAGGAAAAAAGAAGTGCAGCCAATAGGTCAGATAATTGAGATCCATAAGAAGAAAAAATAAAGTTTTTTTTACCAACGAGTCTACAAACACATGTACCAATTTTTTTCTGGGGGGGTTCATTTATCTATTTAGAAGAAAACTGAATTAAGAATTTAAGATTATATCATATCCTTTTTGTAACTGACTGCAAGACATGCCAACTAAAAAAAAGAATAGAGCAGTAATCATGAAATGCAGATCAAAATCTTACTCCAAATGAGTATAAAACAGGAAGGGCATTACCTCGATTACTTTTGCTATCCCAGTGCAATTTCTTTTTGAGCCATGAAGCATAATGCCAACACCATCAAAGATATAGTTACTACTGCCTCTCAGAAGAATTTCAGTTTGTAAAGACCCTCCAAAAGATTTTCGTAGAATCATGTATCTAAAAATGTTTAATATTGGATCAATATTTCATTGAACAAAATGCAGGTAGCAGGAAACCGTGAAATACAATAGTAAAAAGAGAATAAAATTTCCAACAAGTGTAGTACTTAGACAAGCTAAATATATTCCCAGGTGAAACTCATCTTATATGAATAGTTAGCCGGTCATGATTTGTTGTGTGTGTGTGTGTGTGAAGAAAACAGTTCCTGATAACTAAATATGTAGTACTAAATGTTAACACAAACACTAAACTTCTTGCATACATCCAGTAAAGTTCATATAAAGGTTATAGAAGCCATTAAGCATGTGATTTCTATTCATAAACTGCACTTCCAATATCAATATATACAAGTGAAAGGAAGTTTCCATTGACAAACAAATTTTAGTTTATCTCAAGCGTGAATACCCCATGGCATGCATATACTGCACTTCCGACACACAAAAAATCATTGTATTCATGTGGAAGGAAGTTTGTGCAGCAACAAATCAACTTTAGTTTATCTTGAGTTTGAATGTCATGAGAAGAGTCCGCAGTGTTTATAATAGAGGTAAAGAGACCTTCATTCAAATTCATGAAAAATAAAGTTAATCATATGTGTAACTGGATAGAAAAAAATAATGTTATAAGTTCAAGTCACTCGCTTCTAATGCAGTATGTCAGAAGGCTGATATTTTGGTTGAACAAGCTACATAGTAGACAAAGTCAAACACAACATTTTCAGCATAATCTCATCAGCAAAACAACAACAAATCCAGTATAACCTCAACTCCATTGGGTCCAGGATGTAAGCAGCCTTACCCCATTAAACCAAGAGGTTTTTCCCGTTAGACCATGATACATTATTGCATTTATTGCCCAAAATTTCATAGAAAATAAGATCCAAGGGAAGTTTGATGTGCCATTTTAACTTAGTCCACTATTTACCTAAAGCAAAAAGCCTAAAACATTGCAAAAAATGACTCTTCTAGCTCCATTGGCAACGGGTGCAACAAACTCAAAAACAATAATAGTTATGAGTATTATGATTATGGTTATGGTCTAGGTAAAAATTTCATGTAAATATCAAACATGGATTTATATATTTATAACATACTGTTCAGGTGGTAAGAGGGAACTTGCTGCGATTGAATCAGTGAGCCATTTAGCTTTGACCATCAAGGCACCAACTGCGCAGCCATATAAGAACTTCATTGTTTGTAGCTGAGACAACATCAAACAATCATCTAATTAATATTATAATTTAAAACCGTCCAGATTGCAATAAAAATGATAAGCTGGAGTGGGTGGGAGGATTTGAATAAAATTTAAAGGTTAGAGTGTCCATAATTCAAGTCCAAATGCATTAAAAGACACATGCATTAATGCAGAGCGAGAGAAACAAGCCAAAAAAATAATTTTTCTAATGCTGCTTCCAAGGCTTGACCCTACTGTCCTATACTCCTATCATCCAGAAACACAAGAATAACTCTATTTTCAACAGATCCTCAAGAAACTCTGCAGTCTAAAGATAAGATAAAATACTGTAATAGGTGGGGATCGGAGTCAATACTCAATACATGTTTAAAACTCCTAAGAAGTGGTTGCCAGAGATATTTTTGCATCAATATCTACTTAGCAAGCTCTTTCATGTTCATCCGTTGATTCAAACACTTTAATTCATGGTCTATCAATGTCCATTATCTTTCAGAGCAATGTTTACCTAATCATCTATTATTATGGACAAACAGATAAGTAGGGATGAAAGTTCACTTCAGCAAGACAGACCTTCTTTGGGCACAAAACAATAGGAAGTGCCTGCTCTCTATGTCTAGAGCTCCTCTTTCTCTTATTTCCAAAAGGGATATCAGTGAGCACTGTCCCACCATACTTCCTTATCAGGTCTTCAATTTTCTTTAACTTTTGCTTTGGAAACCCAGTAAGCAAGAACTTCATAGATTGGAATAACGTCTTCACAAATTTGGCTTGGCAATTAGTTAGAGTCCCTTTCTTATTGTGAGCTCTTGACTCAAAATGTGAACGTGAAGGTCTCAGACATTTGGAAGCTCTTACAGTGTGGCCTGCAAATTTAAAAATGATGAAATGTGCATCCACCTGTATTTTTTACACTTAAAATGCAAAACAATCATGTTACACCTACAAGCATTTGATGTGATTTGCTGCTTTAGTCGTTTTTCTCCGTGTGGAACCTTCGTTTCAATTTCTGCAAACCGGACACGCTTTATTGTTCCTGATGAGGTAATATTTTGATTTTCATGTATAAGCTGAAGCTTCAAGAGGTTTGGATGTGTTGGAATCTCTGCTACAGTTTGACTTCCCTCAATCTGTTTTCCATTTGCTTCTGCACTAAACTCAGATGAAAAATGATCTAAATGCTGCACGGACCCTTTTTTCATGGACAAGAAGTGTGAATTCCTTTCTTTTTGCAAACCTGATGGAAATCCATGTACACTCTCTGTTGAGCCATACAGGTTCGGAGGTGGCAAGCTTTTATCCAGCAGACGTGTTTTACCCAGACTCCCATTTTGCAAAGATGACACATAGCAAGATCGCATACTAATACTTCTCATTGAGATCAATTCTTTATGAACAGAATGATCTGGTCGATCAGCACTAGCTTCTGAAATGGAAATTTGTTCTGAGAGAACCTTGTTGTCCAGATTTGAGTTACTCTGCAAGTTTTCTATATGTTCAGTACCAGGAGTGAAGAACTTTTCCATATAGACCTGTTTATCATCACATAAAGCTGAACGAGAAAGCATGTTTTGGGATGGAATACTGCAGGGAACAACAGAGCAGAGTGGATCGACATAGGATGGACTTGAAAATCTAGATGCATCCTGTGAGAGAAGTACTTGATTATTCCTTTTTATAAGAGCACCTTCAGAAGGTATAGTTGATTGAGAAGCAATGCAAGCTTTTTCGTCTGGTTTGGGTCCCACAAAGGAGTTTTCATCTGGAGCCAAATCTGCTGATTCTGACAAATAGCTTGTCTCACCGGCAAAATGGCCAGCTATGATTTTAATATTATTTGGTCTCATTGGAACTGAAATATTTGTGTCCTGGAAGGTGGGGGAATGGTGTCATTATAAACAAATAAACATTGTAATAAATAAAGAATGGTAATCAATCAAGTTGAGAAATAGATCTTCTACTCAACACACTTTCCAAATTTCCAAGCAATTGCCTTTGGAATTAATTAAAAAGAAATATTTAATCAAATGTGAAGTAGTTGACATGCAACAAGAATTTTGAGGTCCAATATACAATATGGAAAAGATGTACAATAATTCCATACTTAAACTGCAGCATGCTCAAGTTCTAGTTAGCATAGAAGTGAAGGAAAGTAAAAAATGTCGTAGAAATAACATCGAGCACAGGTAGGCTTGGAGGTAGAGGGTTGCAGGGCTAACAAAGGTTTCATTTATTAATGTAGCTCTTACATTGCCAGACCAACCTCCAAACCAGCGACTCTGAAATCTATTAGACACTGTGCCTGATACTCCATAATGTTGTCCTAAGGAAAGAAAGTGAATATAGATTCATGCCAACAATCTTTCAGTACAGGATGGTAATAAAAATATTGAGCTTAAACATTATAGCGTTACCATCAATTTCAAACCGCTTTGCACAAGGAGACTCAAGGTTTGCTTGCAATGAACACTCTTCTGTAGAATTATGATCTTCTGTCTACATGAAAGACGGTGATGTTAGCTATATAATTGTTACAAAGGTCCGCTATTATTCATGATCACATATAAAGTATTTACTGTAGGTTTATGTTGGCCTTGACAGTTATAAAAATTTACAGAACTAGAATCTCTTCAACAAATAATGAAGTTATTTAAACTCCATCACGGCAAATGAAGAGTTGCAATTGTTTGATCCTGAGAAAATTAAGTAGAGCTAGTGAACATTTTCTAAAATTATGCACTTATATTTGATAAATAGTTAAAACCCCACTACTAGCCTAACCTCTAATGCAGCTGAAACAACAGGACTTACTTGCCCCAGAAGATGCAACATGGGATTGCTTTGATGTGACATGTTAGTGGAAGGCAGCCCCATAGTGGACTTATTATGCCAGTCACAATCATATGATCCAACTGTGTTCTGTTTTAACTGATGATCATTCTCATGAACCTCCATTTTGTGGTTTGTGAAGTCATTGCCATGTAGATTTTGTTCAGTATCAGGTAGCTGAACAACCAAAGGTTTTGATTTTCTGTCTTGTCCACAACTTTCTGAGTCAAGAGTGTCTTTAACTTGAGAAACACTTAAGTTATAGCCTTGTAGATGATCATATTGAGAGGTAGATGTGTTCACCAGTTCAGATTTTCTCTCTTGTCCACAATTTTCGGAGTCAAGAGTGTCTTTCACTTGAGAAACACTTAAGTTATCACCTTCTAAGTGATCATGGACATTTTCCTTATGTATATCTTCTGAACCTAAACAATATTCGGCATCAGTAATTTCCTCTTCTAATAATGAATTGCAGCTGGTCTCATGAGAATCTTTCCAGACTTCTAAGCGAGCTTGTTTCAACTGAAGTGCGGCTTCCAACACAGAGGAAACTGGAAATTCTGAGGACAGAGTTCTGAAAACTTCATGAATAACTAGTGCTTCAGAAGCTGAAATAGACATCTCAACTGCATCATCTGTTTGCTCAATTTCTACTAATCTGGAATCTTCTTCAAGACCCTCCAAACTCTGATCTTCTGGTGCCCTGTCACATTCAGGAGCTAAAGAACAGTTCATTACAACTGCATCACACATTTTCTCAACTTCTAATGATCTGGATTTTTCTTCAAGCTCCTTCATGGTCATATCATTCTCGGTTCTTTGAAATTCATGAACTAAAGAGCAGGCAATTGCATCAATGTTCTGTTCTGCATTTAATACATTGTTTGCTTTTGGATCTGAAACTTCAGGGTTTTGCACATGTAGATCAGAATATATTTCATTCCTCTCAACGTGAAATGCATCAATACACGGGCTTGGCATTCCCACCGAACTACAATCCAGTGATAGATGAAGGTGAAATTGAGGCGCCTTCAAAAAAAGTGTGCATAAGTATTCAATTAAGAAATACTCCCTTCGTCCCACAAAAAGAGTCTTACTCCAGAGTATTTCTCAACTTGTTTTTGTCCCATAAAAAGTCATATTTCTCAACTTGTTTAAACATATAGGTATATTAAGTGCTTTGTAAGAGTTGTACATTACTAACACATTCATCAAAGCGGACTCCTTTTATGAGACGGAGAGTATTATATTTTGCCCCCACACCAAACTAAAAAGTAATACTCTTGAGATAATAAGCTATTAACTACATATAATTCATTAATTGGTCACTATTACTTTTCAAAAAAAAGAATAGAGATAAATGCACCTTATCACCAACTCTTAGGACTCTGATTAGCATGACCATACTTTTAAAAAGAAATCTTGCTCTAAGTAATATAGTAAAAGTAATGAAACATAATACTTCTAATAATTAATGTAACACTTTCCAACCTAAATTTTGAGACTCGTGCAAAAAAAATGTAAAACCTTTTAAACAGTTTTTCTTCTTCAAAGGTGGGTCCCCACCACGGGAAACAAACTAATTGTTTTCATCTCCATGGTGGCATAGTAGAGACGAACACTTCTCCCTTCATACCGTCGTGGAGTCAAAGAAACTCTTGTCCATTCTGTTTATCTCTCATGGTGGATACAAATGTGGAGACCAACACAGACGTAAATGTAGTAGATAGAAAATGAATTCAGGTTGGATCATTTTTCAAATACAGCTGTGAGACAATCTCACGGGACTTTTCTCATAAAATAAATTAATGTTCAGTTCCTAAAATATGAGATCTATATAAACTACAAAGTAAAGTGTTATATTATACCACACACATCATCACCAACTCCTTATTCCCCCTGTTTTTGGGTTTAGTGGAAGAAATTTATAGAATCAATTACTTGTCTAAAATTAATTACCAATTAAAATATTACATATATGCAGAAAAGCACAAACATCGTGAATCAAGAATCTACTGTCAGCACATACCATGCAGTGAAAATGATGTGATGTGTTCAATGCAATTCATGGATAACTTTGTTGATTTCGCAAAAACAAACTTACATTATCAATAGACTGAGTGGCAGTCAGCAGTGAACTGTCATCTCCAGATAAATATAAATGACAATTGGTATATCTGCCTTCCTCCCCTAGAAATTCATCAGCACTGATGTTGCAGACATGTTTCTGACAATTGTGGTGTCCCTGCATCAGATAGAGATGACACCACATTAGCACCTGCCTTGTAGCCCTGAGGGAGAATAACACCAAAACCTGATACAATTCTACAAGTAGGGTCTGGGGAGGGTAAAGGTACGCATATCTTGCCTTACCTATAAAGGTAGAGACACTGCTTTGTCAGCTTTATAGCTAGAGACACTACAGATAAATATATTTCCTTCCATTTACACAACTTTTTTTGTTGCCCACCCGGTTCAATGGAGCTTTGCTGGGTCGCATTGCTGGATTTGGAAAGTGAGTCTACCAAGGGACATTTTCATACACTGAGACTCAAACTTGAAACCTTGCTTAAGCGATACCGAGACACTTGCCACTCGGACCAAGCCCCACAACAACAACAACAACAACAACAACCCAGTTGGACTACAATGAGACTGATATTTCTTTTACGTCATTAATCCATGACATCAACACAATGAAAAAATGATTATAAAAAGCTTCTTTTTTACCATTATCTAGATAAAGTTTGGAGAAAAATTATAATAACTTTTTGAGTTTATTACCAATTTCTTGGTGCCCTAGTTTCTGGTCAGAACTTGTCTTTTTCTATAGGATTATTGGTAAAAATAAAAATTCAAATTTGTTAGCATTCTTTGACAAGTCATACTTGCATATCCATGTGCATGTCATAAAGTTTGAAAAGAGTTGCATTGGCTTAAAGAATTTGCTCTCCATCAAATGATGGCTGATTTTTTCATAATCCTTCAATTGGAAGGCTGCAGCCAGGTTTGGGGGTCAGTCCGATCAGAAACTCAATGCAAGAATAAGTTTCTACATATTTGGCACCCAGACACCACACTGTTATCTTCCTGATGCATTCAGACATTGAAATCGCAATACATATCTACGTTGAACTTTGAGATGTGCCCTTGTGTGCTGCATATGAGGCATCCATAAAGACATACATAGTACTCCGTACTACAGAGTACTAAACTTAGAGAACTAAGTCCTTCAAACCTTTGTCATCCAGAGTACTAAACTTAGAGAACTAAGTCCTTCAAACCTTTGTCATCCCAAAAAAAACTATAAAGCGATGGCTTTTTATGATTGTTTTCAGGCGTGCCTCAAAAAAACAAAAATATTAACAAGAACGATTCAGTTTAAAGATAAACGATCCAAGCTGCTACCTCAACACATGGCTCCGGCGAAGATTGCCCTTGCTCGAGTCCCAGAACAGATGCTTCGGCATCGCAGTCTTCCTGCTGAAGCCAACAAGGTAGCCATGCCCCATCCTGCACCACACAATCACAAAAATTCATTAATTTTCCGCCCTCTTTAATTTATCCCGATTAGTGAATTCCTATACAGTTTAGCCGCCCCGTTCAGTTCTCCTTTGCAAATGCTAGCAATCCAGTGAGAACCGATTAACAGAACTGTTATTACAGGAATGCGAATCGCATACATTTGATTGGTAATTTGGTATCCGGGACATGGTATGAATTGAGAACTGGAAAACCTAACCTCTGAGAATTGAGGGGGCCGAAACCCTAATAAGCTTCCCATTGAGATGAAGACAGAGCGCAGTTGCCGCAGTATGATCGACTATCTATTCACCTCGCCGCACAAGAGGCGCGGGTAGTTTCAACAATGGTGGGTTCGTTTTATCGTTTGGCTGTTGCCGCTCTGCGGGCTGCGTTATCGCGCGCCATGGCAATTCATTGGCGCCTAAATAACTATGGGGAAAAGCAACGCAATTAGAAATAACCCATTAACCCCTCAAAAGAAAACAATTTGCTCGTTTTGTCCCTAAATGATTGTCACAGTTTAATATTTTGTTAAATTATGGCATTTTTTTATCATAAATTACAGAAAATATATATTTTGTTATAATTTAAATTTAGTAAAATTAGATTTATTTTAAAAAATAATTTTGAAATTTCAAATTTTTATAATTTTTAATTATTTTAAGTTATACTCCCTCCGTCCTCCTGTATTTGTCCACATTTGACTTTTGGAACTGTTCATCTAAGCACTTTGACTCATCAAATTCTCTCAATGTGTAAGCTTAAATATAGTCATGTGTGATCTTGTTTGATTTGTCTTAACATATAGATTATTAATATATAATTTCTATAATTTTTTAATATACAAATTACAAGATAAAATGGATTAAAGAAGTGCATTGGATGGTGTGCAAAAATGAAAGTGGACAAATATATGGGGACGGAGGGAGTATTTAATTAATGGTCAAATGGTGTCACGGTTTGGTCAAAAAAATCAAACTGTGACACTCTTTTTAGAACTGAGGGAGTAATAAATCTTGGTCGACATCATTTGGTTTAAAATTGAAATACATTTCTTAGGTAATTCAACTAGTCCATATAGAAGATGTCAAACTCATAGGTCTTGAAGTCGAATCACAGCAGGAGCAGAGTGGCAATTTTATTTTTTGTAATATCTCTTTATACGCACCGGGGCCGGGACGGCTTCTCTAAGGATCAAATTAAGATTATACTATCAGAGTCTGAGGCGCCTGGAGTGGGCGTTCCACTTGCAATACATCTCTCTCCAATAATTTACTGCCTCCATCATTCAAAAGATGGCATTTTTATTAATTAGTAAAAACTATATAAAAAATTCTCTAAAACAAGATATGACAAGTATATTTTATTTTATCAAATAATCAATGAAAACATGTAAACAAATAAAAAGTATCCAGAGAACGTAAAAGTAAATATGTAATTCTTTCATGAATGGAGGAGAATTTAAAATTTTATTTGTATATGCATTTTTATTGATCATTTAAAAAAACAAAATAAGCATATCATAACTTTTATTATAGGTTTGTGTGTCGTTTCTAATTAAACATGTAGTGTTTTATTCAATGCAAATTTATAAATAAAACTATTTTAAACTATACAATAGTTTTCACATTGTTTGAAGACAAATAATTTAGGACGCAATGAATACTAAAGTCACCCCTTATTTTACTAAATTCATTCCATTGATATAAAAAATTATAATTTTACCCTGCTACTTCTTTCTTCCTTTTTTTTAAAGAAATAAAGGGATACTTGTGCATTTATATCAAAAAATGGATACAATCATATGATGAGTGAATTTAACAACAACCTAATTTATATTATTTTATATTTTTCTATAATTTTCTTCCACGGTTACATTTTCTTAAATATTTTCTAATTTCTCTAAAGAGAAAAAAATTTCAATACTGACTATAACTATACTCAAAACATACACTTGTAATTTTTTAGTTATTACTTGATTTGTGTTTGAATATAACGAACTGTATTCGAATATCACATACACTGCATACAAATATTTGATCGTGCGAGTATGAGTCAAAACTCAGAATAGACCCATATAATGTGTAATCTGGTGTATGAAATCACTATTAAAACTTGACTAGTAGAATAAGTGTGTATAGAAAATAATTTAGATTAATTCAAATTGAAAATATGTTTGATAAAATATTGTAATTGGAAATTAAAATGTTATTAGAAGATGGAGGGAATATTTATTAACAAATAAAGGGTAATTTATTTAAATATAATTAAAACATAATAACTTTCTTAATATAGGACCATATGTTTTTATTTTCTAATGTAAGATCATTGATTATTATCTATTAATCATTATTCAACTAAATCTCCAGTATCACTTGGATATTATTCTTATTACTAGTTATTATTAACTTCTATTCAGTGTAAATTGAGGAATGCTAGGGGTACCCTGGGGTACCCCATTTTGTACACCATATATCCTAGCCCTTCATTTATTTTTTTATTTTTAATTTCTTTTTCCCTTTCTTGCTTTGTGTGGTGGAGATGGAGGAGTTTTGTACCCCAAATGGTGTACCCCTAGCATTTTTGGTGTAAATTTCACATGATTTAAGGGGTGAGTATTTTCACACCAAAAAAAGTCAACAGATCTATTGAATGTCCTGAAAGTTGTTGAACACATCCGAAGACGAGGGAAAGTGCGAGACCATAATTTCCATGTTCGACTTCTCCGTAAAGATTAACTAAGAATTCTTAGAGGATGGCACTGCCGGCGCAGCGATGGCGGATAAAGGCGGCGCTCGGGTTGACGGCGATGTGCTTGGCCGGCTACCTTTTTGGCCCGCCGTTGTACTGGCACATTATTGAAGAAATCTCCGCCGCCGCCGTCTCTTGCCCTTCCTGCGACTGCGACTGCGATTCCCATCCACTCCTCTCCATTCCTCGAGGTAAAAGCCCCGCCCAATTTCCGCTCCCTTTTCCCAGATCTGCATAGACATGCCTCCTCCCATCGCTGTCTTGATATGATGCACGTATGGGTTGATGTGGTGGATCTGGTCTCTCTTTAAATCTCAACTAGCCTACACTTCACTTTGCATTGATATTGTTAGAATATAAATAAGTCTTGGGCCACAACCACAAGTTTGAGCTTTTGGTTGAATTGGTTCATTGACATGGTATCAGAGACTAAGAGGTCACGGGTTCAAAACTTACCGCCACCCAATTTAAAAAAGATTAAGGTTTCACGTGCAAGGCTCGAAAAAAGACTACGCCTGCACGTGAGGGGGCGTGTTAGAATATAAATAAGTCTTCCTGGGCCACAACCACAAGCTTGAGCTTTTGGTTGAATTGGTTCCTGACAGATATGATCACTATGTATTTTTATTCCTTTGTGTTTTTTTTTCATTTGTCAAATGGATTTCTCAGAAGAATCTGTTTTTTCTTCTTATAGGTCTGAGCAACGCTTCTCTCACAGGTTGGTGCCATAATTTTCTCCTTTTTTTAAGAAGTTGCCGTGTAATTTATATTGTCTTTTTGCTATGTTATCAGGTGTCTATCATTTACACACACATTTTCTGATATAGGGTCTTTTCTTTCCAGCTGAAATTTACTGAACTGAATGGAGAAATTTACTGAAATGAACTCAACTGAAAGTTGAATAATCTAGATTTCAATGCTATTTGATGCAAATGGAAACTGAATTGAACTGAAAATAAGGCGAAAAGGAACAGACTCATATTAATACGTAAGATGAATTAAGAGATATTAGGTTTTCTCTGGGCTTGTTTAACTTGTTTTATTGAACTGATTCTAACTGTTTTTCACTATGTGCTTCTTGAGTTCTTGTCATATCTCCCTCATACCTAATTTTGTTATGGAGAAGACTAGGTTGTAGGGTACTACTCTAGAGATGGTTTGCCACCTTTAAAGGATCTAGTTAAATGCAGGGCTAATATAGTACGGAGTAATATCCACTAGAAAGTAAGATGCTCCTATTGTTCCATAACCATTTAAGTTTCCTGAACCTACTGCTTTAAATTATCAATTTAATGCATGTGGATGGAAAAACAAATATGCACTTCCATCACAAAAATAAAACATTTATGTGTCGTATCAGAGGAACTTTTGAATTCTACACTCATTGGTGTGCCTGAGTTAACTATTTCTCCACAAGTAGCATCCCAGCAGTTCCATTTCCCCAAAACAGAAATGAATTAAACAGTTGAAAAGTGAAAGACAGAGGGGAGGGGGGATGGTCAAATGTTATACTTTTAAAACAATTTATCATAATATAAACTTCCATTACCGTGAAGATTGAGAAATTGGAGAAGTGCGTGTTTCAGTTTTCTTTAGAGGAAAGAAAAAATAAGAAGCACAAATTTCTTGTGGAAAATGATAATGGTGGTAACAAAAATTTCAACTCACTGCCGTGTCATGCTATCCATAAATCCCATATGTGTAGAAAAAACCTATGGTTATGCTAGTTTTAGGATTTTCATCTCATGTATCCTTCTTATGAAGGTTGCCGTAGGAGGGGCATATGTCATAAAATATTTTCACTTACTAGGAGGGATTAAGGTTTTTTTTGGGGGGCGCAGTATTAAGGTGTTGATAATGATGAATAGAAATATGTCTTGAATACTCAAAGTTTGAGGAGCTTATTCCTATACTCTCCTCTCAATGCATCTTCCTATAGTGGAATACATACGGTGTACATCTTAACTTCTAAAATCAACAGAAAACTTACTAATGCATGATAGCCATAAAATCTTACTCCAACAAAATTATGATGAATGACATGAATAAAAGAAACTATTCCAATCAATTATGTTCTACACACATAACCAACAACAACCACAACATAGTTAGATCCCACGAGAGCAGGTCTGGGGAGGGTGTGTACGCAGGCATTGCCCTTACTCAAGAGTAGAGAGGCTGTTTCCAAGAGACACCCGGCTCGAACAACAAGGATAAAAATGAGATGACAAAGGACATATAAAGCAAAGATAGCATACACTCACATAAAGAAATGGTAAATTGTAGATAAGTGTATCACGTTTGTGCAAATTGTGATCGGATTCACCACATGCCTTTCCAATTTGAGAAAGTTACTGTAGATAGGACTAAATAATTGTATATTTACTGAATGGGACCAATTTTTATTTTTACACGAATGGGACCTATAAGGTCCGATTCCCGTGCATTGCATTCCCATGCCATTTTTTACCCTTACATTCTTTTTCTTTTTTAAGAAAGAGAGAACATAGGCGTGCGGGCAATTTAGTCAATTTATGTAGGTTTTAGTCTCATGTTTAAAACGAGTCCTATTTGTGTCAACTAGCCTTGATTTAGTCATATTCTTGTAATTTTCTCTTCAAATTATCATCACTACTAGCGATGT